TTTGTTTCAGACTACAGTGGCCATTGTCTAACCTGGACTCTGTATAAACTGGCCTTTGTTTAATCTGGCAACTGTCCAAACCAGCCTTTATCTTGGTTTTGGTTTGTTGTTTAATGCCACACTCAGCAATATTCCGGCTATATGACAGTGGTCTCTAAATAATCGGGTCTGGACCAGACGATCCAGTGATTGACATCATGAGCATCCATCCACACAATTGGGATCGATAACATGCATTAATCAAGTCAGCAAGCCTGACCACCCGATCCCATTAGTCGCCTCTTAAAGTATTTATCTTATATGTTACTCTGTCCTAACTGGCCTTTGTTTAATCTGGCACACTGTCCTAACTGGCCTTTGTTTAATCTGGCACTGTTGAAACTGGCCTTAGTTTAATCGGGCACTCTGTCCAAACCGGCATTATGTTTTACCCCCAGCAGATTGTAGTGATAATGAAACTGAATAATCTCTGTGTTGTCCGGCCTTTGTCTATCCGGCACTCGGTATGAACCAGCCTTTGTTTAATCTGGCACTGTCCTAACTGGCCTTTGTTAAAACTGGCACTGTCGAAACTGGCCTCAGTTTAATCGGGCACTCTGTCCAAACCGGCATTATGTTTTACCCCCAGCAGATTGTAGTCACAATGAAATTGAATAATCTCAGTGTTGTCCGGCCTTTGTCTATTCGGCACTCGGTCTGAACCAGCCTTTTGTTTAATCTGGCACACTGTCCAAACTGGCCTTTGTTTAGTCTGGCATTGTTGAAACTGGCCTTAGTTTAATCCGGCACTCTGTCCAAACCGGCATTATGTTTTATCCCCAGCAGATTGTAGTCACAATGAAATTGAATAATCTCTGTGTTGTCCGGCCTTTGTCTATTCGGTATTCCAGAAATGGTTGTCAGTCCAAATTACCAATTTACATAGAAAATACCTCTCTCCGTTATCCGGCACTGAACAACCACTTAGCTGTAAGCTGTCAGTAAATACTAGCTTTTCTAGACGTGTCTACTAAATAAACACAAAAGGTTGGTATCAGTATACCTAGGCATGGATTAACAGTACATGTGTATTGCAGCGTAAGAAGACATGGAAATATATTGTTATCTTGCTTCTCATCGACATTTGGCATTCTCTGCATAAACCGGCAGTCTGTCTAAACCAGCAATGTTTTTCAGTACTCCATGATGAGTGAGTGGTTTAACTCCATTTTTAGCAATAATCCAGCAATATCACGGAGGGGGACACCAGAAATTGGCTTCACACATTGAACCCGTGCTTTCGGCGTGACGAGCGAATGCTTTAACCACTAGGCTACCCCAACACTCTACTCCATGATGAGTCCTCTATAGTAAGACATTGTTCAGGGATAGACGGGGCGGTGTCCCCTGCAGTGATATTGCTGAAATGTTTCTCAAAGCGGCGAAACCCAACTCACTCACTCACTCACTCAGGGATAGACATGACCACTACTCCGTTTGTCCGAGACTTGTGAATATCTGGAAGGACTAGTTGTTTTCTCCAAAAATCTAGTTACTTTGCTCGAGCCACAAGTCCGAAATGAGCTTAAGACTTGTTGGATATGACTAGTTGTGTCTTCAATGCATCGCTGCACAATTGCAGACTGGGGTATAATGAAAAAAACCCATTCATTCTTTTTTAACTCTTCTATCCTGGTTTGAAATTGTTTCTTCTAATATGGTTAACAGAAGCCATTTGTAATGGTACTTTGATCAGTAGGCATTGTATAGGTTATGGCCAGTGATTGGTAGTGCGGAACAGATCAATACCCAACAATGGTGTATGCATATGGATATTATTGATTCCAGTATAGATGCTGTATTTCTGATTTATGGCAAAGTGTGCGTCAGACTAATGACTATTTAACAGGAATGGTATAGCATTAATGGGTAATAACACAATGAGGTATCTCGAGCAGAAGGTTTTACAGTGCAGAACACTGGTTTGTTGCTAAATGGAATAAAAATGTCGAAACCATGAGTTGATTCGAGTTTTACACTGATGCGATATTCCTGCTATATATCACGATGAGAGAAACAAAGGATGAGCTTCAGGAGGGGAATCAACCCCGGTCAATGGCTTGAGCAAACACTTCATCTACTTGGCTATCCTACTGCCCCTACAGACCATGAAGGCAGGTCAGTCTGTTTCCTTGCAACAACTTGGACCTGGACGCAGCTGAAGACTTGCTTGTCTTGATGGAGGAGATCCCTGATACACCCCAGCTAACACTAGCAAACGCTTTACCCACTAGGCTATCCTACTGCCCCTACAGACCATGAAGGCAGGTCAGTCTGTTTCCTTGCAACAACTTGGACCTGGACGCAGCTGAAGACTTGCTTGTCTTGATGGAGGAGATCCCTGATACATCCTAGCTAACACTAATCAATACTTGGCACCGGAAAACATTCAATTTCATTTTTATTCATACATTTTTTTTAATCGAGTTATGTTAACTTTTAATCGAGTTAAGTTAACTTGCCAAACTTTTTGATACCTTTACCATGTTTAAACATGTCAGCGGAAAACTTTCAGTTGAATTTTTGTTCATATATTTTTTTAATGAGCGAAAAAGACTGTTGGATTGCATGTGTAACCTGATGTTTACTAATGCACAGGGCTGAAACTTGTGCATTCCATCACTCAACAAATCATCAAAAACAAGACACGTCTAGGATACGCTAGCTATGGGACCGATTGCTTCAGGCTAGTGCATGAATATTTCCCTCTCAAAGCACATGTACTATCAGTCAGTTTTGTTGGTAAATTGATTCATTGTCCTTGTGGAGATTGATTTCTGTTTGCATCAGGAAGTCTATAGTAATCAGCTGTGTTATGTCCAGGAATAAGCCCGGTCATTAACAACCAAATGAAATGAATGTGTCACGGTTTGGCTGGTTTGAGGATCAATGCTGTTGATATATTACCATGATTCTTTTAACAGATATTGCGAGTAGTGAACTGATGAAAGACAGATAGTGATATTCAGTTTCCTTTGTATCCAACTTTTGTTGTTGGAATATGGGTCAGGGATGGTTAAATGTTTATTTGATCATGTTGCACATGACCAAGGTTGGAATTGTCACATGAGAACAACAGAGAAACCTTTTGAATTCAATCATGCTGAAAGCACCTTAATGTTGCGCTACCTTAATGATTCACAAGCAAATTTAGTTAATATTATTGAATCTCAAAATAATTGTTCACTTGGTTGATGCAGGTCATCGATCCCAGCTGCTTAGATCAATGCTCATGATGTCAATCACTGGATTGTCTGATCCAAACTAACTGGATGGTGCATGACATGATCCTTGTCTAAGCTCCTTCCCAGAGCATGACACTTCGTTACAATCTCGGTTACATCACTGCTACCAGTGTGGTCACGGCCATTACAAGAATCTTGAAATTTGCCCTCTTAACCCAAATGTAGTAACATATATACTTTTGTTTATGTCTTTGGTAATGCGGTCATAGTGAATTTTAAAAGGGTGAATGACAGACCATATTTCCCCCATGAATTTACCTTTTTGTTTGTTTGGTCGGATAAGTTCGAGATTGCAGACGAACGGAAAATCACCCAACTTTCCCTTTTCATTCTTACTATAACAATTACATGATAGTTGTACTTAAACAGAAATTGACAAACAAAGAAATTTTAGCAGGGGTAAGTGTATTCGGCGTCACGGCAGTCATCACTTGTTTGTAAACATAACGGTCAGTTGGCTGCGAGTTCAACTCCAAGCATGGTTGTAGCCATCTATCACAGTGGGGAGCTTTCACTGGTGGCAGCGATATATAGAGAGGTCCGTGAACGTAATATATTGCTGTGAGGAGCTAGAGTCCTGGTCACGTAAATGATAACAGTAGAGTATATCTCTTCCTGTCTGTCAGTTAGCTGAGTAGCGGAACATGCAGCTCCAGATGTTCCGATCAATACCAGTGGATGAAGGATTACCAGTTGACTTGGAGAAGTCATACATCATTCGCATATAGATGTCGCCAGGGTCATTTCTGCACAGATATATTTTTCTATAAACTTTCCGCCAAGTGTCTAGACTGCTGTAGACCTTTCTGAGTCACTGTCTTTGTACTTTGAACTCACATATTTTCTTTTAAGTCAGAGAATGATAAGCTGTTGCTTTTGTGCTTCATCAGCAGTTTTGGGATCTTGTAATTTCTACAGTGTTAATGGTCCATGGATTTAACAGAATTCATAATAAACATTAAATCAAACAAAAATAACAGTTAGCGATTTCAGCCACAAATTTGAAGCCTGAGTCTAATAAAAGTCTATTCGGTTGGGTAAGTTCATGGTAATGCTACATATAATTACTCTAAAATTTACTGAAAATATTGCAAAGAGCCATAAAACTGCAATGGAATGACATTGTTGGCAAAATGGGCACCTATCAACAATATAATATACAATTTTATTGGTAATTTATGCTTTATCTACATTGTACAATGAACATAGTTTTAGGACTTGAATTATATTCTAGTTTTTTTAAATGGTGTTGACACTCAAGTTTTATCTTAAATATAGTATTGATTGAAATGAAACATTTTTTATTTGCAAAATGAGACATGTACCAGAAGTTTCAAATCTTTTTTTACCCAGAATTGCCATGACTTAAGTCACGCAATAAGTATCGTAAAGTGAACAAAGAATCACGTTGCGTATAGTATTGGGGAATAGACGTATTGTGACATTCCTATCGAATCCCCACATCATTGGTCACAGAATCAATCAGTGGATTGTCTGGTCCAGACTTGAATTCTTACAGGGCAATGTCATATTGCTAGAATCTAGAATACTTCTGAGTGAGGTGTTAAACAACAAACAACAACAAAACAATGATTGGTCCTGAAAGAAATATTCCCACAGAATTCAGAGAAGTGTATTCAAATCCACATGCTTTCTGTTATAGCTGTTCCTTTATTTATTTCACTCAGTAAGTTGATGAATTTACTTTTTTTTCAGAAAAAGTCTCGCCAGGAGAGTCATGGAGCTGGGAGTGGAGTGGAGATTCTGGAAAATACACCCTACACGGAGGGACCAGGAGGTAGTGGGCAGTACACCTACAAGATATACCACATCGGCAGCCACCTGCCAGGTAGGTAACACAAGGGGCAGCACACCTACAAGATATACCACATCGGCAGCCACCTGCCAGGTAGGTGCTATAACACAAGGGGCAGTACACCTACAAGATATACCACATCAACAGCCACCTGCCAGGTAGCTGCTATAACACAAGGGGCAGTGCACCTACAAGATATACCACATCGGCAGCCACCTGCCAGGTAGCTGCTATAACACAAGGGGCAGTGCACCTACAAGATATACCACATCGGCAGCCACCTGCCAGGTAGCTGCTATAACACAAGGGGCAGTACACCTACAAGATATACCACATCGGCAGCCATCTGCCAGGTAGGTGCTATAACACAAGGGGCAGTGCACCTACAAGATATACCACATCGGCAGCCACCTGCCAGGTAGCTGCTATAACACAAGGGGCAGTCCACCTACAAGATATACCACATCGGCAGCCACCTGCCAGGTAGGTACCAAAACACAAGGGGCAGTACACCTACAAGATATACCACAACAGAGATTATAGTGGTCAGTACACCTACAAGATATACCACATCGGCAGCCACCTGCCAGGTAGGTGCTGTAACACAAGGGGCAGTACACCTACAAGATATACCACATTGGCAGCCACCTGCCAGGTAGGTACTATAACATAAGGGACAGTACACCTACAAGATATACCACATCGGCAGCCACCTGCCAGGTAGGTACTATAACACAAGGGGCAGTACACCTACAAGATACACCACATTGGCAGCCACCTGCCAGGTAGGTACTATAACATAAGGGACAGTACACCTACAAGATATACCACATCGGCAGCCACCTGCCAGGTAGGTACTATAACACAAGGGGCAGTACACCTACAAGATATACCACATCGGCAGCCACCTGCCAGGTAGGTGCTGTAACACAAGGGGCAGTACACCTACAAGATATACCACATCGGCAGCCACCTGCCAGGTAGCTGCTATAACACAAGGGGCAGTACACCTACAAGATATACCACATCGGCAGCCACCTGCCAGGTAGGTACTATAACACAAGGGGCAGTACACCTACAAGATATACCACATCGGCAGCCACCTGCCAGGTAGCTGCTATAACACAAGGGGCAGTACACCTACAAGATATACCACATCGGCAGCCATCTGCCAGGTAGGTGCTATAACACAAGGGGCAGTGCACCTACAAGATATACCACATCGGCAGCCACCTGCCAGGTAGCTGCTATAACACAAGGGGCAGTCCACCTACAAGATATACCACATCGGCAGCCACCTGCCAGGTAGGTACCAAAACACAAGGGGCAGTACACCTACAAGATATACCACAACAGAGATTATAGTGGTCAGTACACCTACAAGATATACCACATCGGCAGCCACCTGCCAGGTAGGTGCTGTAACACAAGGGGCAGTACACCTACAAGATATACCACATTGGCAGCCACCTGCCAGGTAGGTACTATAACACAAGGGGCAGTACACCTACAAGATATACCACATCGGTAGCCACCTGCCAGGTAGGTAACACAAGGGGCAGTACACCTACAAGATATACCACATCGGCAGCCACCTGCCAGGTAGGTACTATAACACAAGGGGCAGTACACCTACAAGATATACCACATCGGCAGCCACCTGCCAGGTAGGTGCTGTAACACAAGGGGCAGTACACCTACAAGATATACCACAACAGAGATTATAGTGGTCAGTACACCTACGAGGCACCAAATAGTTTGCTTTTAATTTTGTCACGCTATGATGGAGACAAACATACTGTGATTTCAATGTTGAGCTAGATTACTTTTTAGATTTCACCTTGCTAAATTTAACATTTAACCTCAAGCTTATCAAAATAAATTTACAAGGTAATATGTTCAGCAGTGTTAGAAATTGGCGCTGGTCCTATAGTCCTTGTCAAAGCACCCAATAGTTAAGGTATCATAAGGACTAGTAGAAAATTTGCCGTTTTAAAGAGTTTTGCTGTATGTTATTATAAGGAATAGTGGATTAAAACTGTCTGTTTCTAACGATGCCTGTTACAGGTAACCTTGCTCTACATCGAAAACACAGTATGTCTATCTCATAAGCAAACACATCATTGCAGAGTTATCAGAACAACATTGCTCTATGTCAGAACTTCAGATAATTATGATGATTTCTTAATGAATAAGGATTTATCAGTATGTGGTAAACATTTTATTGTTCCTTTTGAACACTTTGGTGTGTCTGGATCCAAAGATCTGGGCCATTTAATGAAACAAGTGTTTTGTATTTGAAGGTTGGTTTCGAGCGATCCTACCCAAGTCAGCTCTCAGGGTGGAGGAGGAGGCCTGGAACGCCTACCCCTATACAAAGACCCGCTACAAATGTCCCTTCATTGAGAAGTTCCTTTTGGAGATTGAGACCAAGTACCTTGACAATGGTGGCACAACAGACAATATCTTCAATATGTCCCCGTCAGATATGAGGCAGAGAGTTGTTGGTGAGTGCCTCAGGAGGAGGGACAGATGGAGGAGAGAGTTATGAATCAGCAAATATTTATAGCTTAAGTCCTCTCTGTAGTGCCGGGGTCCCCTCTGTATTGCCAGGATCCCCTCTGTAGTGCCAGGATCCCCTATGTAGTGCCAGGATCCCCTATGTAGTGCCAGGATCCCCTATGTAGTGCCAGGGTCCCTTTGTAGTACCAGGGTCCCCTCTAGTGCCAGGACCCCCTTTGTAGTGCCAGGACCCCCTCTGTAGTGCCAGGACCCCCTTTGTAGTGCCATGATCCCCTTTGTAGTGCTAGGATTCCTTTGCAGTGCTAGGATTCCTTTGTAGTGTCAGGGTTCCTTGATTGTATTTGAATTTCATATTATGATCCTTGGTTTGTTTCCAAATTTCTTGTGATCTCGGGTCTCCAAAAAATTATAAACATTTATGACTTGGGTTACGTTTCTCCCACATTATGCTCACACACAGAGATGTAACTAATAATGTTCTAAGCAGTGTAAGACCCACCCCTTCTCTTCATCATTCACACACCTGCAAGAGGGCGTCAGTGAACCAGGCATCTGGAACAATGTCCAGTTCCTTTTGTTTTGTGCGGCTTTTCTTTTCTTCAGACTGCATTTGCCAAATCAAGACATGAAAAGAAATTTACCAAGCAGAAAGTTCACTGACAAATGATCCTATGTTCAAAACTGTGAATGCTATGAGACCAAACCATTTTAGGTAGATGTCATCTGATTAGCTAAAAAAACCATATGTGTCCTTCGTCTTGATTGGTTGTTATAGTTTGCCTGTGTGCATATGATGTCTGCTTCTAGGGACGGTTTGTCGAATCGCGATGGGGAGGTCTCAAATCAAACTGACATAACTCAAACTGAAATAAGAAAATGACAGCACTGGCTTTGAATGTGTTATGATTATGAAGTCATTGCTGTCAAAGGGCCCAAAGCCAGATGGCGTTGTTTTATGTCACATAGTTTTTGTTGCTTGCTTGTGTTTCAACAAATGTTCACAGCAGCTGTTGACGGAATATTACCAGGCATTTACGAAAAGAAATCAGTCATCCTGGTCTTTTTCTGTACATATTTGTGTTGCAAGTAAGTAAGTTGGAGTGGAAAAATTCAGATTGAGTTTCAATTTTAGAACATCTGAAGGCTTACAAAACCCATTGTAACCATGGTAATAAAATGGAAGCGAAATGTGTCACACTTTGCACGCTTAGTGCAGTTCCGGTGATTGATTATACTCACTGAACGATCCGTTATCCGTCACCATGCAGTGATGAATAAGAAGTGGCAATAAATGTGACAAAAATAAATATCATTTGATACTAAATGTTTATATCATTTCAAATTTTCAAATGTTAAACCAGTACACCTTAAAGGGACTGGACGTCGACCATTTTGAAGCTTTGTTTGTAAACAGATGGTGATAACCCACGAGCATCCTCGTCTCTCCTTGTCTTATCACCAGTGTGTCCTTATCACGTGACCGGACTTTTCTCATGTTTGTAAACAAATGCACATACCGTATTCGACGTAATAAGCGCCCCGCTCTAATAAGTGCCCACGGCGATATTTGCTAATTTATTGGCAAGTGAACAATCCCAATTAGCACCCCTTCCGATTGATCAATGTACACAAGACTTATTTATTCGGGTATAATACGCACTCATGTGTTATATACACCCTTAATTATCGGCAATTAAATTCTGGGAAAATATATCTGTCTTATATAAACAGTCAGGCCCTCAGCATAAACCACGAAATTTATCTTTCAACTCTGTTTTTCAACCAAAATGATATTCTAATAAGAGCCCCCTTATTCTAATTTTGAGAGTGCCCTGGGCGCTTATTACGTCGAATACAGTATTCTAAAATAAGAACTGACAGGCTTAATGCAAGTCTTTCGGTCCGCTCACCATATTGTAATGATATAGATGTGCTACTTCAACAGTGACATTGAGGTGCATGACAATATAGCTTTACACATCAAAGTGACCGTATCACCAGCTTTCTGTAGGGCTTCGATGACAGGACGTGGAGAATAAATACGCAAAAGGAAATAGTTTTTCACGTTTTGGGATGTTTCCTTAATGAAAGTTAAACATTTCTTGACTTATCTTTATCTAAAAGTGTTGGCTCATCCTAAACGAAACAGGTGAAAAACACATAAATGGACTGTGACAATGTGATGATGTGACAGAGGTACTTGGCTGGCCACAAGGAACCCTGGGTAGGAGAGTGATTGGCTTCAAACGGTTGAGGCGTATTTATATTGTAATCTGGGGGCACGGGTGGCCCAGTCGTCTAAGGCACCGCGAGTTGCATCGCTTGGGCACGCCAGAAACCTATGATTGTGGGTTCAAATCCCGGTTCGCCCCGATTATGTTTCTAGGTTTGTCAGCACCATACCTGTGCTCATTGGTTTCACTGAAGTGGTAAACGTCTTAGACCTGCATCACTTCTAGCTTTCCTCCCACATTAAGCTGACACGCCATGATATAACTGGAATACTGTAAAAAACAGCATTAAACCCAACTCACTCACTCAGTATATTGTAATCTAGGCTTTTATAAACACTGGCTTCTAATCTAATCAAGCTGGCAATTACTGGTAGTATTTTGTAACTAATCCATGAGAAAAACACACAAGCATTCTCTCCAATTTGCCTCCATTAACAAAACAAGACTGAAGCCAGTTTACTCGGCACAGCACTTCACTGTGCGGAGCTCGATTGTTTTGGTTTGAGAACCGAATCGGGCATGTGACGTCACACTCGGAAATTATTTCATACAGCGTTAGAAATTGACACTCGTCTATATAGTCCTTGCCAAACGGCCCAATAGCTAAGGCAGCGGTAGAAACTTAGTTTCAGTCCACTAGCCCTTATAATGATAGCATATAGCAAAACCTTTAAAAATGTCAAAATTCTACTAGTCCTCAGGATACCTTTACTATTGGGCAGTTTGGCAAGGGCTATAGGACTAGTGCCAATTTCAAACCCTGTAAGGTATCATAAGGATTAGTGGAAATTAGCCCTTTTTAAGGGTTTTGCTGCATGTTATCATTTTAGGACTACTGGATAATAACTGTTAGTTTCTAACCCTGTTTCATGCATGATTTAAAATCACACAGAACTATTGATGTACTGTCCCTTTAACACATTATTGATATGGAACACATAAAACATATTAAACAATTATGACTGAAGAATGCTTGAGTTGTTAATTCAATCATACTGCACAGCTGGCTTATGTTTCGCTGGAGCTAGTCTCTGCGCATTATGATTTGATAGAGCTAAGTCATGTATCCCACAACATGATACATGTATAGGTAAGGCAGGCATGCATTATGGTACGAACATGTGTGTAAATAGTATTTTCTGCCAGTATGAACAGATTAGTCCTGGGATAAGTCCAGATTTACCACCTGGGTACTCGACCCCCTATTACCCTACCCTGGACCCGCTGTAGCGTCAAGAGTTATAGATATGATTGAAAAAAAAAAATGAAAAAAAAATAAAAAAAATAAAAAAAAGAGTTATAGGTACAAAATGTCCGATTAGAAATTGTCTTACCGGACACCTAGCAAAAAGTATCTTGGAACATCTATAAAACGATCTGGTCATGCATACACTGAAGTTGACTGATCCTATATCTTTACTCAAAACATATTAAAGAAGGAATGAGCGTATAGTCAGAAAGATATGCCAACAGTAGTGACTTGTAGATAACTAGGTAGACACAATTTTATGGATAACAACTTCTTTGATACTGTTTGTTTGTTTGTTTGTTTGTTTGTTGTTTAACGCCGCACTCAGCAATATTCCAGCTATATGACGGCAGTCTGTAAAATAATCGAGTCTGGACCAGACAATCCAGTGATTGACGTCATGAGCATCAATCCACGCAATTGGG